GTTATCGCAGCCGGTTTTGCACTGCTGTGGTGACGAATGACGTCATCAGGTACAGTGGCGCTCAGTTAATGCCACCGTGCATAGGTATAGACAACGTTTTGTTGAAACATGTGAGCTTTGCCGTATCATGACGCATTCGGTGGCAGGCATATCGCGGAATTCAACCTTTCTGAAACTCCCCGGCGCGTGGGATCAGAGGTCCGGTTACTCGGCACGTGGTCAGACGAGGCTCCTGTCGGATCACCAGTCTTTTTTATTGCTGGTTGAAGACAAACTCCCCTGCGGTATTTGGGTTCTCTGCTTGCTTTGCTGTGTTGGTGGTGTTTCAGTAATTATTTTTTCAATGGAGTTGACGATCTGAAAAGCATCTGATTTGTGACATCCACGCAGTCCGCACGTGGTTCTTATGATTATGGGGCACGTTGCTGGGGTGCCAGCCTAGAGGAATAACTGAAACCTCTCTGGGAGCCTAGCTTAACCCCGCTGTGGGATAGCTGAATTATTGCTCTGTGTTTTATGTTTTTTTTGTAATGAAATACAACTGAAAATGAAACCGGCAGAGGACCGCATGACGTACATGTGTCACGGTGATTTAGTGTTCAAATGCATCACCGTCGCGAGCCGGGTAAGCATTACAAGACAGACATTTTCTTTGCGACCGCATCTATAGAAATGGAGTGCTTTGCGAGTGGTCTTCGGAGTGGATTAATGTGGTGCTCTGTCCTGGCTGTATACTGGACTCTGGCACCCGGGCGCCCTGACACACCCGAGCGAGCTTGGCGACGATTATCGCGTGACCTTTCATTTCTATACATCACGTTCACCGCATGCATTTCGTAAAAGCCTTGCGAGATTGCGTCGTTTCCAAGAGCGCAGGCCTTCGCTGCAACTGACATATCGTAGCCTTCGCCGCAGTATTCATCATTACACCCCCCCCCCCCCCTAGAAAAAACTGCAATGGCAGTGCCGAGTAGACACGGTCAGAGCGGTTAGCCACTTCTCAGAACCCGCAGATCTACTACGAGTATTACGCCGTTAGTCAAACGTTTCCAGAGGACTCAACACTATTTGGAGCGCCCCGACCAAAGACCGACAGGTCCCCCTTGCTTATCAAGCCCTTTGTGCGGCGTGCATCGGATCTTTTCCACTTCCTGTTCTGGTGTTTTCTGGTTCCCATGAGTGAGCCCAGACTTCATTGCGAGCTACTGAAGTTTTGTCTTGACTTGTCATCATAAATCGGCGTCATAAATCATTTTGGTTTGATTGCAAGTATATTTACCTTACGCGATATCTGTACGTGGCCTCAGATCACCTTATTTAGCATGCTGACCCTGACTGGAATTAAAGCCACACGAAAAGGTTCATCCGATTCAGATCCTTTCATGTACATCTCGCGCACGAGTGCAGCATCTCATTCTGAAACATTTCACACACTGGAGTCAGATTTATCGCGTTCGTACCACACCTTCGCCAGAGGGAACACATCATCCAGAACGTTTTGACCGGTGGCTGTATACTTGGACTCTTCATCTGGGTTTATGAGCATCTCTTATTCTGCCGGTCCTGGTGCCTTTGCACTGATGAGGAAATCGGCAATATCGAGCGCTGCCCTGTGACCTTGCCCCTGACCTGCGGGGGCGAGGAACGCGGAATGATCAGCACCAGGTGAGCCATTCCAGCGACTGGCAGCGCCTCTGAAGCCCCAGCCGCCGATGTCTGTGGAGTCACGGCAGTCCAACATAGTGTCCCTGCAGTGCCCACTGCTGGGGTGCAGGCGCCGGTGCAGTCCCGACGATTCTCGCCCTGCAGTTCCCGCGACTGGCAGCGCCGATGCAATCCTAGCAGCTGACGGCGTCCCTGCGGTGGCCGATGACGGACGGAGTCCGTCGTTCTCGTTCTCGCACTAGAGAGCATCTGCGAGAACCCCTGCGATGCATTCATCAGGAAGCGCGCTGTCTTTTTTGCTGAGCTTTGTGCGCCAAAAGCGATGGGTTTTGCGTCTGTGTGGGGGAAGGGATCGGTGCGTCCGTGGCTGCCCGGCTGCTGCTGTTGTTCTGCGTAGCCAGTTGACAGTACGTTGCTTTCTTGCTAGGACGTTTCCCTGGTGCCGCCGGGGACGCCTCTGCGTACGCCACATTCCGAGAGCAAAATTTATCACGAGGAGCCCATTGGTCAGCCACGAGCCTGATGATGTTAAATGTACCACTCGGCACGTCTGGATCCTGATGCATCCGACATCAGCACAGACCTGTGAGCCACAGGTCTGTGCTACCATAGACCTGTGGCCAGTAGCCCTGGTCTGCGCTACCACAGACCAGTGGCTAGGATGACGGCAGTGACTGGGGTATTGAGAAAGGTTAACCATCCTGCATGCAATGGTATGCTGAAGTTCAGAACACGAACATTTGTCTGGGGCGGGTTTTCAGTAGGATTCGGGGCGGAGCATAATCTATTTCCAGCGCCCTGAGCCCGTCATCCCAGCATTGCAATGGCGGTTCAACGGACCTATTTTGTCTCGGGGCCCATTGTACAATGAATGCCCTTTTGTCCTTTTGGCACGAAAGGACGTTTATTGTACAATGTAAATCCACGACTATTGGTTGCCACTGTAACTGGGCTGACGCTATCAAGACAACGGCTGAATGGTCCTCTTTGACGAGTCATATACGAACACGAATTCTGGAAGGCGAACTCGCCACCGCATGTCTGCCATATTATGGGTGTGGTCAGCATAAATGCAGCGATATTCCGAGGATGGGCTTTGGCAGCGACGATTTTACGTCTGTCGGACGATACACATTTTTTGCGAATTTGTTATGCGTTGCAGCGAAAGCGTTCGCAATTTTGGGTAATTGGTGTTGGCTTTTGTTTGTACGTTTTGGCTTGGTTTGGTTAGGAGTTGTTGACCATTGTTATCATAACACTCGCAAATAGCATGGCCGGAAAACGCAATCTCTAGGTCTCATCGGAAATAGTAAATCAAGCGTACGAAATCGATGAATGATTGATTAGTTATGGTTTTGTCAGTTGTGGCCAAAGTACTTCGAAAACGCAAATGTTTTCACTTTATGCATTGCCCGTAGTGAGAACAAATGCGCACTCGTAATTTGTATAGGCTTAACGGTTCTTGATTCAGGCCACATCGTCTTCGGCTTCAAAAAGGTTGACATTTGTTTTCCTCCAGTCGATCACTGGGGCACGTATCGTGCTCGCTGCAGAAGTGTCCGTACGCCCGGGCCGGACGGCCTGGAGACCCATCAGCGAGTTGTGGTCGGTACATTCGCCTGTGTCGTGCAGTTTGTTTCACACAATTAGCTGCGATTTCACACAATTAGCTGCGAAGAAGGCAAATTAACTGCGACACTGCACCGAAACCAAGTGCATCATTATATGGTGCATTTGGTCACATGGTGTTACATGGAGAACAGATATGATCAGCTGATGTGTGAGCATACATCACCTTTGCCCGCATATCAGCTCATCGCTGGTAGGTATTACTTTATTTGCTCGCCGGTGATGGCTTCGCATGATAGTTTACTCTACCCTAGCTAGATAACCATGCACACCGATTTACACTTTTCCCAATGTCCTTTACTCTGTAAAATCAGTCCTTTACTCTGTAAAATCAGTCCTTTACTCTGTAAAATGATGGTAATGTCACATCGCTGCAACGCTGGGTGGTCGAGATCTGCATCAGGTTTTGACCCAAGCTCTCATGGTGATGCGCAATAAGCAAAGCTGTACCTTCCCCATGTTCATTGAATGGTGAGGTAGAACCTTGGCGACACGCCAGGCCAGACATCCAGCGGTGCCGAGACAGTCAGGGCATCAGTACGGTCAAGAGAACGCACGCAGCATCTGGAGACACGTGCCGGAATTCCCAGCGGACTTCGGGGGGGGGGGGGGGGAGGGGCTGGACATCCTCCCAACTGGTATGTTATCTCCTCGGATGTCGAGAGTCTCCGGAGGGTAACGGGGACGAGCTTGTTATTCCGAGGTCCGTTTCTGTCGCTCCCGGAGCGGCAGATGTGAGCTAGAACGGGGCGGACGCTCCGGAACTCCCGAGATAGACGTCATTAATCACATCGTCTTACATGGAGAACATGATGTTACATGGAGATCAGACGTGAAGACCGCGACCGATCTCTTCGATTTTTTAGAAAATTTCATACGACTGCCACTATATTTTGTGCTATCCTTTTTTGCTCACTCAGCGTTGATCTTCGCCTACTATCGCTCCCTCGTTTGAGTATTTCATGCCTGTACCCATCCGCTTCCCGTGCACGCACCCTCGTTTTGACCAGGCCCCGACAAGAAAAAAATTGATCCTAAAGCCACCAGCTAATGGTGATGTTTTGCGAACCCTACTCTCAAGCATTCAGGAGACGTGGACATTGTTGTTGCAGTTGTGGCGCCAAGGGTTAGAAGCATAGATTGTGTTTTTACCGTGATCTTCGGGGTCACGCCCCCACTGCGGCCTTCCCGACCTTCCACAACCCATCAGTGTGCCATTTCGGTTTATTTGTGGGAAAACCGGAAGTGATGGTGACATGGCAGGGTTGTGCCGGAGGTAAGCCACCGACGACTCCCAGCGATATGAAGGCTTAATGCTGTGTTATGTGTACTCACTGCGTAGCTCTGAGGGTGCTCAGGGCAGCACGCGAGGGAAACCAGCACCGCACGTCTCGCAAGCATGCGAAACGACCCATCTCAAACTGCTGATAATCCCGGTTTAGGATCAAAATCGGCTGGGCGGCTTAGAAAGCATCCTTTGCTCTGCAAATGCTGTTCAGTCGGCCCGTTGCCCTTAACGCAACTCCGGTGCCAACAATTTTCTTCACACCTTCTACTCGCATTACATCTAGCAAGCAGGAGTGTGCAGGGACAGCTGATGGCCTGGCGCTCGTCTGGGCCGCCGGACTGCCCTCATTGGGTCTCTTTGCGAAAGGCGTTTAGGCCTCTAGTTCGTTCCAACGGCGTGATGCAGCACTCAGAGGAAATGTAAGTCATCTGTGGTTTATTTGTCCACCAACTGCCACAGCAAGACATTGAGGCGCGAACGTAACGCTCCATTACCTGCCGAGAGCTTTACACCAACAATGGTCAACAGATTCACAACGCGCGCATCGCGCATCACAGTTCGGGAGCGGTCGCGCAGGTCACGGTCGCGAGAGCGCAGGACAACTCGCAGTAAGCCACGCTCCAGCGCAGCACTTGGCATCCAGTTGTGTCCGTCACACGTAAAGCAGATAACAGGCCACGAGCAGCCGAATGATACACTGCAGTCTCGTATCACTCGAATGATGCACTACGGCATCGTCTGACGTAACGGTGGCACAATTTAGCTGACCAGTTTGATGGTTCTGAACTCCTTTTCAAGCATCTTCTGTGCCTGCTTCTGCAGCTCTGGCTTGAAGAACCTGAGCAGAACTTCGTTGTTGTTGTTGAGAAGCGACTGCAGGAAGCCTCCCAGCCCTCCCAGATTAGAAATCTTCGTGGAGAAGGACTCCAAGTCGATCGTGACCCTGGGGTTGATTAGTTGGATGTTGAGCTTGCCGTCCTGCTCGCCCAACGTCCAGCCGGCCTCCACGCGGATGCGGGGCCGCGTCAGCTCCAGCTCCACGTCCGGCCGGCCCGTGATGAAGCTGTAGCGCAGAGTCATCTTAGTGGAGGCCCGCAGTTGGTCAAAGCTCAGCTCCAGCGCCAGCGTGTCGGGCTGCAGCGTCACGTCCTCCACCTGCACCGTGCTCAGGCCGTGCACCTTCAGGTTACGCGCCGAGAAGCGGAACTTCTTGTCAGCTTTCTCCGGAATGTCCTTGAGCGACAGCGGCTCCAGAACGACGACCTTACTGCCGACGTCCAGTCCCGTGGAGAATGCCGGCTTGGATATGTCTATGACGCCCCTAAGAAGGTCCTCCACGCAGGGACCGATATCACCGGTGTCGGTCGTATCGCCACAGGCCTCGAACAGGACCCCCAGGGGAATGCCCCCAGGCAGGGCGGTGAGGTCGCGGCGTGGCCGGGCCGGGGAGGCGGCCAGGGCGCCGCAGCAGGCGAGCACCGCGAACACGGACAGGAACTGCATGACGGACGCTGAGCGACGACAGACTGGTGCCGCCTCCGACCCGCCCCTCGTATATAACGACAGCCGGGCCCGCTGGGAAGCCCTGCCCCTCCCCGCGTGGCAGAGCGTCGTTGAACTGGTGGCGCCGCTGTAAAAAATGCTGATGGGTCCGCGGAACGGCCCTGACGTAATCAACTTCCCGCTACATGTTTACTGCTCGCCGCTGGCAAGCACCCCGCCGCTGCACTGGTGCTGCTCCTGGTACCATCGGCGTGGGAACGGGAGCGGTTAGAACAGGAGCTATGGCCCTCCCGCCTACCGTAATGCGTAACACTCACACTACGGTGAAGCATGGGAAAGGTTATTTCAAAAGGTGCTAGGCCCTCCAACTTATTGGGATGTTCCTAAGCTCTTAGTTGAAATGGCTATTATGGACACGGACCGGAGAATGAGAAATTGTTCGTTGGAAGCTTTCACGCTGAAAATAATCGTTACCTTCTACAGACCATGAGGTGGCCATTTAAAGACATCATGAACAAATTTTGGTTGTACTGACAAAACTCCATGTTTCGAAGCTGTGCTGATGGTCACTCGTCGTCATTTGGCTATGAAGCCTAAATTTGTTCAAAAAAAGAAGAACGGTAGGGCAGCACGAAGCTGTACTCGTGCTCAAGCACAGCTTCAAATTTTTTAGTTTTCTTTAACAACCAATGTTTGTTTGACGACGTCGTTAAGCTTGTACTTTTGGAAATGCTGCAGGTCAGCTATTTTTAGTGCAAGAACCTCGAGCTCAAAATCTTGAGCATCTAGAAGTACAAGGCCTTTCTTAATTATACGAGCAAGCAAAATACAGAATTGTTGGCTCTTAGTGCACGCAATTTGTCACAAGCTGATTCGAAGTTTCTCAGGTAGTGTCCCTTGGGCATCATGAAAAAGATACTTTGGGCTGCACACAGCACAAACGCAGTGCTCATCCCAGGGTCGAAAAAGCATTCGTGGGTTTTGAGAGATAGTGCATACTTATGGCAGGCATCAAGCGGCGAAACGCAGCCGTAGCTGCCCTAGAATCGGTCTGGATGGGTGATCCGATCGCAGACTGCACATAGTTATTTGTATTCGTTTGCTCGAACACCATCAACGAGGTGGCGTTTCACGTGCTCGGCCCTTTACATCACGCACTCACTCGTTACAACGCATTGCAAAAAAGACTATAAAAGACGGTGCTGCTGACTATACTTTGTTATGCGATATTACGAACTAGGTGATAAAGTATGATACTGTTAAGTACGATACGATAGAATTCGGTGTGATACAATGGGATACGATAAAAATAATGCTGCAAAATGGGTACGAAGTCGAACGATGAGTCAAATGAATGCTATAAATGGGCAACAGAATGTGCCTTAATCAGTGCACACACGCAAAAATGAATCATAGTAAGTTGTAAGCACATGGTATACACATTGATTTGTAAAGATCACACGCGTACATACATATGGCACACAATCGCACAGATAACTAGCATAGACTTGGCTCAGCATGGACAGCATGGACTACGGCGCACAACCTGACGTATGGCTTTTGAAATGTGAGTTTTTCATCTCTCGGAGGTCAGGGATGAAGACATGGTTAAGTGATGGTCGGGGCAGGCGGTTCTAAGTTGCCGCGGCACGATAAGGAAAGGCTCGCTTGGTGACTTCCAAACGGTGGAGAAAATTAACATGGAGGAGCGCGTCTCCCTTAAGGAAGAAGAGGAACGTGGCTTAGAAGAGATTAGATAGCCGGGGCGATTCTTTGTTATCAGTATGTCTTAGGGTTTTGAATGTTATCAGTAAGTCCCTCTCTATCCCCAAGTCATCAATGCGGGGCCAGCTTAGAGATTTCAGAGCCGGTATTATATGCTGGCTGTTTTTCACCCCAGAGATAATCCTGGTGGCAAAATTTATAGCTTTTAGATCATCTGCGCCTGACACTTTCGCATCACCCCATGCGCATTGACAGCGGGATATGTGTGAAAAAGGTAGGCTTGGATAACAATTTTGAGTATATCAGGTGTTAAGCAATGCCTAAGGCAGAACAGCGATATCAAAATTCCGTTAAATGTCTACACGACTTAAGCGACATGCCTCTCCCATGAAAGCGTCGAGTCTACGATCGCTTCGAGAAATTTGAAGTGCCGTGATGATCAGAGAGCCTTCCCATCCGTCGCAAAGAAAAAGAAAAGGTTTCCTTTAAACTATGTTTTGAACATATGCGAACAGAGTTGGTCTTGTAGTTGTTCATGTTCAGTGAGCTTGCACTGAATGAAGCCTGAAGTTCGCAAGTTGATGTTCCCACGCGATATTTTAGTGCGTCGAGACTCCGCTTATTGGGAGGAACGTGGTTCAGGAGCTGAGTTTCATCTACATATGAGATGAAGCGTCCAGGTGACAGGTGACTGGGAAGGTTGTCTGTGAGTAGGGTGAACTATGGATCCCTGGGGCATTCCGTGGGTTACTGACAAGGTCGTCAGTCCTCCATGCATCACCTGTCTCCGACCACTCAAATAGCTTTTGAACCAACCAGGGTTCAAACCACACCAGTAAAGTTTTGTTATAAACAAACCATGATCAACGCTGTCGAAAGCCTTGGAATAGGTCGAAAGCGGCTAGCGAAGACATTTCTCCGTTGCCGACGTTCCTCACCAGGTCTCTGACAGCAATGCACAAACCGTCCTCAGTGAAGCGACCTTGCCGCTGGGCAAATTGAGCAGGGCTGACAATACCTTTACTATGGAGGTACGTGCTCGGCTGGTTGCAAGCGACTTTTTCGCGCATTTTCGACAGAATGCTAAGAAAGGTATGGGTCTACCGTTAGCTGGTACAGTTGGGTCCCCTGACTGCAGGGTGGGTTCCACGCATGCA